GCTTTAGCAAGGATGCAGGAAGGAAGTCGAAGGCAATACTTGAAGTCATATACTTTGATGTATGTGGTCCAATCCAGGTGGATTTGATTGGTGGCAATAGATACTTTGTCACGTTTATAGATGATTACAGTCGAAAGTTGTGGACTTACCTCATCAAGAAGAAAAGTGATGTGATTGAGGTATTTTCCAGATTCAAGTCCATGGTCGAAAGATAGAGTGGTCGAAAGCTGAAAATTCTGAGGACTGATGGTGGTGGAGAGTATGTGTCAAAAGAGCTCGATACATTATGTGTAAAAGAAGGGATTGTGCATGAGGTGGTTCCACCTTACACTCCACAGCAAAATGGGATTACAGAACGCAAGAACAGAACCATCATGAATATGGTGAGAAGTATGTTGAATGGAAAGCATCTACCTAAAGAATTATGGGGAGAAGCAGTTTTGACAGCAACATATATATTGAACAGATGTCCGACGAAGAAGCTTGAAGGAATCACACCAGAAGAATGTTGGTCTGGTGTCAAGCCTAGTCTCAGTGACTTGAAGGTGTTTGGATCTATAGCACATTGACATGTGCTAGATCAGTTGAGAAGGAAGCTTGATGATAAGTCAAATCAGATGATCTTGATAGGATATCATTCGACAAGAGGTTATAAGCTGTTCGACCCAGTGAATAAGCAGGTAGTGATCAGCATGGACGTGGTCATAGATGAGTTTAAAGAATGGGACTGGACTGAGAATGCCAAGAAGGATTCAGTGAGAATCTCTTGTGAAGAACCAGCCACTGAAGTCGAAATAGAAGTTCGACAGGAACCAGTTGCAGATGAAGCAGGTTCAAGCAGACCTCGATGAACAAGACACATGCCTGCAAGGTTGCAAGAATGTGTAATTACATCAGATGATGTAGTCGATGAGGAAGGTGAGCTGGTACATTCTGTTTTCTACGCAGATGTCGAACCAGTCAATGCAGCTGAGGCATTGAAAGATTCGAAGTGGGTGAAAGCAATGACTGAAGAGTTGGAGTCCATCAAAGTCAATGATACCTGGTCACTTGTCGAATTGTCGCAAGGCAAGAAGACAATTGATGTGAAGTGGGTTTACAAGGTGAAGGTAAATCCTAAAGGAGAAGTAACTCGACACAAGGCGAGACTCGTGGCGAAAAGGATTTCTTCAGAAGGAAGGAATCGACTTCGATGAAGTATTCGCACCTGTTGCTAGAATCGAAACAATCAGGTTGGTTGTTGGTCTAGAAAATATGAACAACTGGCACACATGTCAGATGGACGTGAAGTGTGCATTCCTTAATGGCCCCTTAGACGAAGAAGTTTATGTTCCACAACCAACTGGGTTTGTGAAACAAGGCGAAGAAAGAAAGGTGTACAGGCTTCATAAAGCCCTGTATGGACTTAAGCAAGCACATCGAAATGAGGTTCTATTATCTTCGAGAGCAGGTAGCAGAAGGGAAGATGAAGTTGGAACACTGCAGAACTGAGAATCAGATTGCAGATATCATGACGAAAGGAGTGCAGGTCGAAGCCTTCAGAAGACTAAGAGCCATGATGAATGTAGACAGTTTAGACACAATGAATTAGGTGGTGTGTTAAATATAATTCACAGTGTAAACAGATTTGATTTGATATGATTTAGATTAGATTTAATTTTGAATATTTTGGACCTTTTATGTTTTGGGCTTTTGTAAACCTAAAACTATAAATAGGGTGTCTTTCTTTGTATTCTATATAACACAGTACATATTTCACAATTGCAGAGTTAGCAAGTGAAAGTTCAATAGAAATTAAAATTCCCACAGTTTGTGGGTAACACAATTTTTCTCCAAATATTTTTTCTCTCATTCTTCTCTTTCTTGCTTGTTTGTTATTCTTCTTTTCTTTTGTTGTTCTTGATAACTCTTTACTTGTTATCACCATTACTATCATATTGTGGGTTTGTTCATCAATCTTGAGATCAAAATTGAAAAAAAAATTTCATAAGATGTGAGGTGAATTCCAACAATTGTTTACGTTTTTATATAATAAATAATACTTTTTTTAATATATATATATATATATATATATATATATATATATATATATATATATATATATATATATATATATATATATATATATATATATATATATATATATATATATATATATATATATATATATATATATATATATATATATATATATATATATATATATATATATATATATATATATATATATATATATATATATATTTATTTATTTATTTATTTATTTTTATTTTTATTTTTGTGATTTATTTATGAGAACTAGATCATTATTATAAATAAATAAATAACGGAGAGACTTATTAACAGTTTTAAAATATTAAATATATTGTTGTAATGTCAAATGTATATGATAAAAATATTGCACATGATCGATATTTTAAATTAATCTCAAAAATATATAATACTGTCTGTCCCGTAAAAAATGTCTGCGCACGTTATCAATTTTTTTAAGGTACAAATACAATTATATATATATATATATATATATATATATATATATATATATATATATATATATATATATATATATATATATATATATATATATATATATATATATATATATATTTTTTTTTTTTTTTTTTTCTTTCTTGCGATTTATTTATGGGAACTAGATCATTATTATAAATAAATAAATAAATAACGAAGAGACTTATTAACGGTTTATAAATATTAAATATATTGTTGTAATGTCAAATGTATATGATAAAAATATTGCACATGATCGATATTTTATATTGATCTCAAATATATATAATACTGTCGGTCCCGTAAAAAATGTCAGCATGGTGCACGTCATCAATTTTTCTAAGGTACAAATACAATACGTTATCAATTTTTTTAAGGTACAAATACAATAATATTTTATGTTTGCACATGAACAATTTGCGAATATAATAACGTTCCATTAGAAAAACAGTATAATAACCGTCTTAAATTATTCGGTCAAAAAAGAAAAAGGATGCTATTCTTACCTTAATTCATACAACAAATACTTATATCAAATATTATTTATTGTATTTATTTATATGGTAAACAGAATATATATATATATATATATATATATATATATATATATATATATATATATATATATATATATATATATATATATATATATATATATATATATATATATATATATATATATATATATATATATATATATATATATATATATATATATATATATATATATATATATATATATATATATATATATATATATATATATATATATATATATATATATATATATATATTTTGTAATGTCAAATGTATATGACAAAAATATTGCACATGATCGATATTTTATATTAATCTCAAATATATATAATACTGTCGGTCCCGTAAAAAATGTCTGCATGGTGCACGTTATCAATTTTTTTAAGGTACGAGAATACAATACGTTATCAATTCTTTTAAGGTACAAATACAGTAATATTTTATGTTTGCACATGAACAATTTGCGAATATAATAACGTTCCATTAGAAAAACAGTATAATAACGTTCTTAAATTATTCGGTCAAAAAAGAAAAAGGATGTTATTCTTACCTTAATTCATACACCAAATACTTATATCAAATATTATTTATTATATTTATTTATATGGTAAACAGTATATATATATATATATATATATATATATATATATATATATATATATATATATATATATATATATATATATATATATATATATATATATATATATATATATATATATATATATATATATATATATATATATATATATATATATATATATATATATATATATATATATATATATATATATATATTCAAATAAAAAATTTGTTATTAACCAATTTTATTATTACATTAACCATAAAAATATCGGTTATTAATCATATATTTTATCTATATTAACCAAATTCACTACTTTATTAATCAAATTCTAACATTAAAATATAAAATATAATAACGAACTATAAAATATATGAAATAAAACAATAAGATTGGTTAATAGGTTCACTACTTTCCTGCGGATTTACCTACGGATTTAGACAAAATTTCAAAAAAAAACATCTTACCTGCGATTTTCCTGCTATTTTCTATTTCCAGCTAAAACCCTCGTAGTAATTAATTTAGTAGGTAAAGTTGCAGGAAAATGTCGCAGAAAAATGTCTTAATAAATAGTCACTTGTAAAATAGATGAATTTGCAGAAAACACCGCAGATAATTAAAGTTTCGCAGGAAACGTCGCTGCAAATTGGGTAAATTCGCAAATAATTTTTCTCACAGATTTTTTATTTTTATTATTATTTGTGTTTAATTCATATTTAAAATATTATAATTATTGTTAAATATCAAAGTAATAATAATATAAAAATAAAAATCTAATTTGAATAAGTCAATGCAACACTAAACACATTCAAAATTTTAAAGCAACCGAACATTACTATAAAGTCAATAACAAGTACTTCTAGAATTACATTGCTAAAAATGACACAATCAAGTTACTAATAATCACTTGTCCAACCAAATTAATAACAAAAAACAATGCAAATTTCAAACTAGTTGACAAGAAAAAAATCCAAATCAAAATTCACTATTAATGTGTTCACTAATGTATTCATGATTCATCAACATCATCTTCACTTGGATTATCAGTTTCATTATTAGTTTGGGGTGGATGAGAACATGCATCAATCCTAAATGATTCATTAACAATGAAAGTTTATTGTTCGTTTCAATCTTCTCTTTTTCTTGTCGATGCAATTGTTGTTTCATCTCCAATTTCTCTTGTTCTTGTCTTTGCACTGATGCATTAAGAGCATGGACTTGACTTCTCAAATCATCAACCTCATGAGATTGTATTTTTTGTAAACTCTATCATTTGGAGGTATGATATCCTACTAGACCCCAAATAACTTATGCATCGAAGAAAACGCGGTCACTTGGACATGTCCACGGACTACCTTCGAGAAGAAGATCTTCATGACATATGTTTTTGAAAGATTCTAGCAGCCACCATGCTACACAAATGTTGATAGTTCCAGCAAGCATTGTACCAATGAACTAAATAATTTTTAACACAACAAATACATTAGATAACATATAAGAAAGGTAAATGCTAGTAAAACCTTGCAAACACAATTATAACAGCTAAAAAAATAAATATACCTGCAATAAGAACATTGACCTTGGAGATTTTCATATAATGTCCGAGCCTGAAATTGCTAAGGAACGAAACAGCCTGAGCCATGCTTATGTAACCATAGGTTTTGAAGCATACATTTGCAATCGGTCTTCCGGAGTAAATGATACCAAAGATGTACTCAGGGATGATATTCAACCACGGCGTCTGCATTCACAGCATTAAGATATTTAGTTTAAAATCAAATTATTTTCCTTTGTAAGGAAAAGTTTCAAAATATTAATTAACCTGGTTTGTGGTAGCAGTTATGATGCTAATTGGGAGGGCAAACATAAAAATATTAATACTAACAGAATTCCTGTTTCCATGTCTGCTAGTTGCATTTGTTAAATTACTTGTGGTAGGAATGTCTGAGGTAGCATGTTTGAGAAAAAAATTTGGTCTATTTTTCTCATCATCTTGATTATCAGTTGAGATGTTCTTCAGAGTGAGTTCTTGATCATTCCACAACATGCACTCTTAGGGTGTTCTTCTATTGTTGATGTCAGTCCCCTTTTCATATTCTGACAGTCTCATAAAGAAAAGCAAGAGATCAATATTAGGATGTATCAATTTCATAGGACCAACATGCTTTAAAAGAGCATAACCAACAAAACAATAATTGATTCACACCAATAATAAAATTAAGAAGCTTCAAGGACCATCGATCTTCTTGCGATTGAACTTTCACTTCCACCAGTGTTACCTGCATATCAGCAACACTATCATCACTCCTATATTGTCCAACAACTTAAAAACGATACAAGGCAGTACCTCTACTTCGAGATCTTCTTCTTCCGGATCACCTTGGTCATCTTTGGCTTTTGAGTAAGTTTCCCCTTTATGCTCATTGATAATGTTTTCAAATATCTGATCGGTTTGTCGCTGATACCTCTCAAGCTTAGGCCTCAAACCAGTAACAAGTTGTATCCATTTAGCAGAAGGAAACAAATCTCCCAAGTCAAAACCTGCTGCAACCTTTATAGATTCTTTCACCACTGATATAAATTTTTCCTGGTCTTTGCATTTATTTCCAAACGCAGACTTCGAAACAAGGCTGAATATTGTAGAAATCACAGCTTCTATGAGGTTGATTGGCGATCCATTCTGCGAAGCAATCCATTTGACAAGATCGGAGAGCACCTATTCTCTAATTGGTTGCAACGAGTTTACCTGTTTCAGGCTTAAAAGCTCCGAGGTGCATATTTTTCGTAACTGTCTCCAATAACTACCATAAGGAGCAAAAGCTATATTTGTAGAATTGTAAGACATTATTTCTGAAGCTAGGAGATGAGGCCTTGACGCAAAGTTAAGATCATGGGTTTTCATCACCTCTTTGGCACATTCGGGCGATGAAATGACAATAGTAGAAACCTCTCCAAGTTGAAGATGCATCGCAGGTCCATATTTGTCTGCCAAGTCTCTTAATCTCCGATGGGGTTGAGAGCTTATCAGGTCCATATTTATCATTCACCTGAAAAGAGGAAAACAAATGAACATTATCATTATTTGGGATGAATTGAAATTTATTGAAAATACTATTTTGAACTGAAAATTATGAGCATGCCTCAATAAAAGCTGATCGTTAGCCGGAGATAACATTGAATATGTATTTTGGTAATATCTCACCACATCATCAAGGGTCTGCATACAACATCAATCAACCAACTATATTATCTTAGTTCCGGAAACAAAAAAGAATTCAATGACAATAAAGAGTTCAGTTGACTAACATCCACAGAGCAATCTTAATAACAAAACTGACACATATATCAAATGAGAAAACTTGCAGATAACACTTTGGCATGTATCAACCATAACCTGATGGTCAAATGACTGTGAAATGTACTATAGAAGACCAAAACAGGAATTTTGCACTTCAATGAACACTCCTATGCAAATTTAAGGAACAAGATGAGAAAACTCAACAAATCTTCTAATGTGCTCATGCTTATAGAACATGAACATATTTGACATCAATACAATCGACAATATGCAACATTGTGTAATTTAGATATATATAATACAATCCACAAGATAGATAACTTAATATCCATCATTCAATGTTGAGACAGAAAATGCATTACTATTAGAGTACCAAACAATCAAGTAAGTGGCAGCTAAAGAGCTATACATAGAAAATTTTGGGTGAATTATTAATGTGACAGAGACTTTACATAATTCCATAATAATATATTATATATTAGTACATGTGCATGTGAAATAGTTTTAATACAAGAGATAAAGTGAAAAGCCACAAAAAGCAAAAAAATAACTATGCTTAAAAAGTTTGTAACATCCACTGAAAACTTGTAACTTTAAAGTTTGTAACATGGAGAAATGAGATTCGGTTAATATTGTTTTGAATCTTCATCCCTAACCTTCAATTTGAAGAACATTTTCAAGACATTTACGCAGCAAGTTACGCTCAAGCTAGACGAAAACTATTTTTCGATCAAGGAAGCAGCAGATGGAAGGCATCATAGATAAGTAAAAACCTGATGAAAAGTATACACACAAATTAGCCATGTTCACAATCATAGATAAGTGCTTATGTATAAACTTGTGGAAATCAGTGCTTACCTGTTGCATTAACTTAGTGAAATCCGAACACAATGCCTTGCGCCCGGACTCATCGAATATTTTATCTAATGTGGTGTCTTGTAAAGCCACTAGAGTTGTCTCCAACATGCCGAGGTTGGCTTGATTAGCAAAGACAAACACCGGCTGCGACTGCAATACCAAATGGAAAATCAAATAAATCGTGTGATATATAAGGCTGTTAAAAGTTAAAACCACAATTTCTTTCTAAGCATAAGAATCACGCCCATACCTTCAATGAACAGCATAGCTGTGAAATTTTATACCAGAGAGGTATATATATAGCATAATTTAAAATCGTCATACCTTCTTGTGACTAAATACAGTTACTCTATCTGTTCAGATTTAGTATATATGTCGTTTTGAATCAATTCCAGTTTTGTTGCTGCAAGGGTGATAATAGTTTCAACATGATCATACAAGCAAAATATTCCTCATGAGATGAAATCCCAAATATAGCATTTACCAGAGATAAAGATTATGTAGTAGCATAACTAAAAATTATCCTTCAGTAACTAAATATAATTATCGTATTAGTTTAAAGTTATCTTCGTATCTTTGAAAGTAATTCCAATTGCAACTGAGGATGCTAGTTTATTTGCTGAAGTGCTTATTATAATTGGAGGGGATATGAAACAGTTGGAGTCTTGTAATGTACATAATTGTTATCTATACTTTGTGAACGCAGGGTAACTATGACCTTGTTGGAAACAACTTTCCTGTCTTCTTCGTTCATGACGGGATGAATTTTCTAGATATGGTTCATGCTCTTAAATCCAATCCCCAGACCCACATCCAGGAGAATTGGAGAATTCTTGACTTCTTCTCCCACTTTCCAGAAAGCCTTCACATGTTCTCCTTCCTATTTGATGATGCGGGTATCCCACAAGATTATAGGCATATGAATGGTTTTGGAGTTAACACATATACCCTGATCAACAAGGCTGGGAAATCAGTGTACGTGAAATTTCACTGGAAGCCAACCTGTGGTGTGAAATGTCTATTGGATGAAGAGGCCGTTCAGGTGGGAGGATCCAACCACAGCCATGCTACTAAAGACCTTTATGACTCAATTGCTGCTGGTAACTATCCTAAGTGGAAACTTTATATTCAAACATTAGATCCTGCTCATGAATACAGATTTGACTTTGACCCTCTTGATGTAACCAAGACTTGGCCCGAGGACATTATACCCCTTCAGCCTGTAGGTCGCATGGTCTTTGAACAACAAATTGTCACAACAAACCAGATAAAAAAATGAGTTTAAAACTCTTATGTCACAACAAATTGTGAAGTATTATTCACCGGTTTTCACAACAAATTGTGAAGTATTATTATTATTCACCAGCTCAATGTTGAAGCAATGGTATATTTCTAACTAACCTACTGACAAATCTAACTAAAGCTACTATGTTTATTAAACTAAAGCTAAATATTTATCTAAACAAAGCTAATGTAAAAGCTGCTGTATATATATTTTTCAATTAAGACTAACGTGTTATAATAGAAAAGCTAATGTACTAATGCTATTATATTCTAAACTTATGGATATATCCTGAGCAAAATAAACCATATTATATTCTAAACTAAGTAAACTATATTATAACCTTTTCCACAATTAAATAGATTAGAAGATATCCAACAGTTTATTAATTAATTTATAAAGCTACAAATTTAAGATTTATTTAATAGGTTTAGCAATTATTTCCCCATCGATTTTGAGGAAAACTTTGATTACCTACGCCAGAAAACTATGGAGAATAGGTACCTGTTAGGATGTCATCTGCATAGTAATAATGAGCCAATCTCAGTTCCATCATTATCAGAAAATTGTTCCATCATTATTTAATAGGTATATGCAAGTGTTCATATATAGTAGAAATATATATCACTTTTAAGTGTTAACTTTGAGTAGTACCAGCCCCGCCAATCACATAAACCTGAACATTGAGTAGTACATTAGCGAATCTATAGAAGGTAGGTAACTGATATTGACATGAAAAATAAAAAAGGAAACTGAAAACTAGGGACCCTATTTGATATGAACAAATACTTCTACATCACATTTTCACTTTCAATTACTAAACAAAAATCAATTTTCATATTTTCTGTTTTCTAAAAATTTAATATTATTAGTTTAAATAAGTGTCACAAGTTCAAGATACTGTATTATCAGTTATGTTGGCAATACCGCTCAACCTTTAAACTTGTATTTCAATTATACTCTAGATTTAAAATTTCAATATTGTAAACTTGTAATTCACTAATATGGAATTACAATTTATTAACGATGATAACTTTCATTAATAAATCAATCTAACTTCTCATTAATAAATGCATCTAACAGTTTCTGCTTTATGTTAGAAAACATACCATTCATAAAACCAAAAAAAGTAAAATCAACATAAGTAAACTCACTGTGACATTTCAACAAACACCTTGTTTACAAAAATGACCTAAGTTTATAATCAATCTAACTTAAAATCAGTAAAATCACATAAGCTTGATAATAGATATAGAAATAAAAAAAGTCTTGTCAGCAAGTTTGTTTTATGTAGTTCATCACTTTTCATAAGCTCAAAACTTGAAAGTGTAACTGAATAAGATATTATGTACCTTTCGCGAAAAAGAGTTGCCGGAAGGTTCTTCATCCAGAAAGGGTATCTTTAACAGAGATGGCATCTTTTTTCGACAAGGAAGCGCAGATTTAAGGTAATCCTGTAACATAGAGAACAAAATTGTTGAAAGGGTTAATGACGAGTGAGAACTGAGAAAGAGGGAGAGGAACTGTACCATGGGAAATTAGAGTCCGCAAAATTTGAGGCTTTTTTCCTTTTTTGTTTTGAACTGAGAAAACACTTTCTTTAAACAAACTTTTCTGGTGAATTAGTATATTTTAATTATTTATCTTAAATCTTGTTGTATCAATATTTTTTATATTAAATTGAATTAGTATATTTTAATTATTTTTAATTTTGATTTAAAATTCTAAACATATTAAATTAAACTAATTAACGAATATAAAATGTATCTTTTTATCTATTGAAAAAACAACTTGAATAATTATTCTCATTTTTAGGTTGGCTATGTTAAGAATAAAATTAATATTTCTTTAATATATTTAGATTAATTATTAAATTTTAATTTAAAATTAAAAAATTTCACAATTCACATTAAAAATAATTAATAAAATAGAATAAATAGAGACTAAAAATATCATTCTAATTTTATAAATATTTTTCAAAAAATTTCAACAACTATGAAATCTTAAAAAATGTCTTAAATAAGAATAATATGTACTAAAATTATCTTAAAGAAAATAAATCTAAAAAATAAATAGAAAATAATTTTTGACAAAATTTAAACAAAAACTTTTATTATTCAACAAAGAAAAAAAGAATTGTTGTGAAAATTATTTTAAATTAAGTTTGTTTTTATATTATATATATATATATATATATATATATATATATATATATATATATATATATATATATATATATATATATATATATATATATATATATATATATATATATATATATATATATATATATATATATATATATATATATATATAAATCAATATGTCAATTATATTTTATAATTTTATTTAATAATAGTAAAAATATAATTAAATAAATAAACTTATATGTTTACAATTATATCATAAGTCTATAGTTTTGATTTTTCTAATTTTTACAACAATAAAAAATTATTAAATAAATAAACTTATATTTTACAATTATATCATAAACTTATATTTTTTATTTTTCTAATTTTTACAACAATAAAAAGGCATTAAATAAATAAATTTTCTTTAAGAAATAATTTAAAAAACTCAATTAAATAAATAAATTTTTCTAATATTATAATTAAATTTTCTTTAAGATTTAATATAAAATTAAAAAATTTCTCAACAACATATTCTTAGAACCAATAGGTGTTTATAATTTTATTTATTAATCGTAAAAATAAAATAATAACTAAAAATAAACATACAATTCACAGTAAATATCGCAGAAAAATTTACAGGCAATTCCGCAGCAAGCATCGCAGCAATTGCTGCGATACATCATAGAACTTTGTAGTTTCCTTGGATAACACATTCCTGCGAAAATTATCGCAGTAAAATCCACAGGAAATTTATATTTTGCTTTTAAATCAAAAATTGCAGCTAAAGTTTCAGAAATTTCTGCAAAGTTTGCTGTTACCGTAATTTTCGCAGAAAATAATGTTGCAAAATATAAAGGCGCTGGCGAAATCCGCAGGTAATCTGTTTATTCTATTTCATATTTTGATGTCATAATTTAATTAATGATAGATACTTTATTTATTAATGAAGTAGTAGATTTGGTTAATAAATTATAAGTAAAATATGTGGTTATTAATGTATATTTTTGTGGTTAATATAATAGTAAAATTGGTTAATCACAAATTTTATAAATTTGTGTTATAAAAGTAATTTTAAAAATATAAATATTTTTTTTATTAATAAAAAAATAAAAACATTATTCGCCGTACAAATACGGTGAACAACTTGGTGTAAATATTTTTTTTAATAAAGGCTGACAAGATTAAAGAAAAATGTGTTACAACCAAGAGACTACAAAATGGGGAACAAATATAACCCTATAAAAATTGGAAAATCTAAAGAAATGTATTCCTAATCTATTCTTTACAAAATCCTTTCTAATTCCAATAGGAATAGAAGCAAAAGTAATCATGGAATTTGCGCTAATACCTAAATTAGCAACAACAATAAAAAATCAGCGCAAGAATTCATTTCCCTAAATAT